TCTGTTGACAGTTTTAATCTTAGGATTTTTGGTGCTATGACAAAATCAGTTTAGTTCAGTCTTCTAACAGGAAACATCAGTTGTCAAAGACACAGTAAACGTTTTACTCTGCTCCACGAACATATGACACTCTACAGATGGAAAACACTATAAAAAAAATCACATGATAGGTACAAGTGAGGACAAAAATCCACCTCTGAAATCTAACATACAGATGTGTGGCTGCAGATGCCAAAGATTTATCCTAATCATAAATATTTATTGATGTGAAGTGAAGATAAAACTTGATTCTTCCGTGTCGTTTCAGAGGATATGAAACTCCTGGTCCTGCTCTTTGGCACAGTCCTCCATCAGTTAAACCTGTAACACTTTATAACCTGCCATAAAACAGGATTGCTGGGGAGGAGGGCGTGGTAAGCTGTGGGCGCCTCTTAACACCTGTGATTCAGGTGATCGACTCAGTGTCGGTTGTCAGATTCTTGGGAAAACACAACCGATCCAACATGGATCCCAGTGGTTTGATTTGGACTTGTCTCCTCCTCGTTGTGTCCATTTGTGTGCGTGTCGTTACCGGAACTCCAATAGGTGAGTGGAGCCAGAGAGGTTGGATTTCCTAGAGTTCAGAAAAACAGACAAATGTGGCACAGACTCGATTAAGAAAAATGAAAGGCTCTGGATTAGTCGTCATATTATATTTTTGATTGTGCGAGTCAGTAGAAAGGTTTTTTTGCCTCCAAATCTGTTATTTCCCTCTGCTAAAAATCAGAGAAATACATTATCGTGAAATGATTCCCGTCATTGAGCCTGATGTCATTTAGATTTGAGCTTTAGTGTTCCAAAGTCCAATGTCAGGTGTTGCAATTGACAAAAGAAAAGAAAAAAAAGCCTCTAGCAGAATCCTGATTGTATCATTGACTCCTAATCTTGGCAGAATTGAAAGAGTTTAACTGAATCTGAGAGTTTTCTTAGTCGGGCTGATAGACGTTGACTGTGGCTTTGATGGAACATACGTCAGACTTCAGATAGACTGAGTCTAAATTCATCTGTTGCATGAAGCAGTCAGATTCTTGGGGTTAGGGTTGTGGTTGTGTGTCTCAATAGTCAAGTGCACGCAGAGATTTCCATGGTGACTTTAAGATAGCACTGTTGCTAACCGTTAGCAACAATGCTAATGGTCATGGTGGCTGCAGAGACGCCATTTCCTGTAATATGTAAACTCCATTTGCTGGTTATCACTAATTTT